ACATAGTGAGACCCTGTCTCAAAAAACCAAAAAAAATAAATAAATAAAAGAGTTGGGCCAGAGATTTAGGTCATTGGTTTCACCCACACCCACTGTCTTGTAAGAAACAAGGTCCTGAGTTTGATACTTGGTACCAAAATAAATAAATAAATAAATATTTTCAAAATAGAGTAAAAGCCATTTAAATTTACCCAAAGAAGTTCCTCATGATTCTCACACACAACTCCATACATTAACTGTAAAAGAGTAGATGCAGTTTAACTCGAAAAAAGTACAAATTTAAAAACAAGGGATTTTACTATTAATATAAAACAAAATTTCATGACAAAAGCAAGACATAGAGGATCACTTTATATTGATGTAGAATCTATTTCTCTAAGACCACTGAACTTCAAGAATCTTTATTCTTCAGAAGCAGTGCATCAAAAGATAGAGACCTAAAGCAAACACTCGTGCAGCAACAAACATGAACAGCCACAAAATAGTAGGATTTTCATACAACTCTCTTTGGATCCAATAGATCAAAATTTCCAAGAATATAGAAGATAGATTTAATGAATATGTATAAAGATATTTTACCTTTCAAACAGTGAATACACCTTCTTTTCTAGTATCTATGAAGTATTTATAAAAGGTTATATGTTTACCAAAGAGAAAAATCTCAGTAAATATCCCAAAGCAAACAACATTGTATGTACATTTTGACTTCACTACAATAAGATTAGAAATTAATAGGAAGTAGTTATCTAAAATATAATAATAAGGAAATTTAAAAAATACTTTCTAAAAGAAAAATAATAGACTTTAGAAACTAATGGCAATAATACAGCAAATGGAAACACAGGATGTCACCAAAGGTGTATCAAGAAAGTTCATAGCTTGGGATGTTTTTCTTACTAAGCAAGAAATAATAAAAATAAGTAAATTCAATCTAAGAACAGGGGGTAGAGAAGGATCAAAATAAACACGCAAAATAAGAACAGAATGAATAAAGTTATAGTAGAAAGTACTGCATTAGAAAATCATAAAAGTGATAAATGACTCCCACAGTGAATTTTTAAAGAACAATAAAATGTTTTCTAAAGAACAATAAAATGGATAAACTTCCACAAAACTAATCAAGATGATCAAGAAGATATATATATATAGAGAGAGATAGAGATCATAAACACATGAGGCATGAAAAAATGGATGACACAAGCACAGAGAGTTTTAAAAATTTAATAACTGCATGTAAAACTATTAATGAAACTGAAAAATGCCAAAATTTATCTGTCAGAAGTACCAAAACTTGGGGCCGGGGATTTAGCTCAGTGGTTCGGTGGCCTGCCTTGCAAGCACAAGGACCCGAGTTCAATCCCTGGTACCAAAAAAAAAAGAAGTACCAAAACTGCCTCAAGAGACAAGAACACAGGACGAAACAATATCTACCTAGAGAAATAGTCTAGTAAATTTTATCAAATATAAAAAATCAGCTAATTCACATGATGAATAAGTTGACAGACACAGGTACAACTGGTGGATGGAAGAGGGATGGACGGTTGGATAAACGGAGCTGTGCAGATGCACTTGGGCCTGATACACAGAACTGAGGATGAGAAGGGTTTAGAAATGAGAATGTAGGGGAAGAGTTTTAAGGTGGAACAAGGTGGATGCATACATAACCTCTAGCCAAAATGACCTCGACCACATCCACCTGCAAGGCAGAAATCCCCAGGTCTGGTCTTTCCTGAAGTGAAACTCTCGCACAGAGCGCTAGAGGGCCAGCCTTCAGTGTCTAATCTAGACAGATCAATTAAAACAACAGAACTAGGAGCCCAACCTCTCCTAGGGATCTACCCTTCCCTCCCCAACCCCTCAGGGCCCTCCCCAGGAGCTTGCAGGTGCAGTCTCTCCAGGGGGTGGTGAGAGCCATGAATAGTAAGGGTTTTAGCTCAAGCACATAGAGGCGTTTAGCTGCCCAAACATAATCCCCCAATAATCCGATTATGTAAATTCCTACTTCAACCTCTTCCCCTGCAGGACCAAGCCCTAAACTGTCCATGCTGGGAGACTGGGGCAGAAGCATGCCTATCACTCTGGAGGGTCACTGCTAGTGGAATGGTGTCTAAACCTAGAAAGCCAGCAATAATCTTTAGGGTTTCCAGAAGAAAGTCAACCCTAGAGCTGCCACTGTTATGTTCCTCTCTGTAGTCTTTGTCTTCAGCCTATGTCCACTTGCACACAATTTGTCTTATAGTGAGTTGTGTCATTTAGCATTTTACATTTTCAGGCTTACTACCAGTTGCCACGATTCTTTTTCACACCTGGAAAGAATGTCACTGAGAAAATACAACACCTCATAATTTTTGGCTAAGATGAGGTTCTTGGTTTAAAATCAAACGTGTGCTCTAACAGAATTACCATGTAATGTGGCAGGGTGGAAAAAGTCCAGGCACCATGAGACAGTGATTCCCTGTCACAGAACACAAAGAGAACAGAGAGGGAAAAAGAAGAGAAAATCGGGGGCATTTATGGCAAATAGTAAGTTATGTTTCTAGCATAAATTGGCCAGCTAATTTCTTCCAGTCATCTTCCAAACCACCCCTATACTGTTACCAAAAAGAGGCTTGCAACCTATAACTAAATGTATTATTCCCATGTTCCTGTACTCCACCTCTACCCATCCACCACACAGCTACCCAGGAACACAGGCACCAAGAGCCATTGTGCTTTAGATGGCTGTGCTCTGGCTTCTCCAGTGCCCATCCTGAGACTGCACACCACCTTCTAGATCACACATCTGGAATCCCTGAATTTCTGTCCAAAAGTCCCTGAACACATTTCTGGGCTCTTTCTTAGGTCCACATAGGTGAGAGTTTACATCAATATACATAGGGCCCTTGGTAGAACAAGATTGAACTCGGGGGCAGGAAAAAAAAAAAAAGATAGGGACAGACCAGGCATTTCCATTTTGTACTCTTGTCCTTGTCCCACAAATGGCAGAGCCAGTGTTGCTTCAAGGCCTACTTTAAATGTGATTCCTCCCATGAATAACCTCTGATCTTTCAGCCAGATTCTTTTGCTTCTCTCCTCCTTACTTCACATTTACACTCTGGCACATGGAATTCTCAATCTTGTATTTAGTCAGTTTTGTCAGGTTCACTTTTTTCCAAAGGCTGTGAACGTTTTGAAGGCACAGAGCTCTCCTCACCTTCCTGCTCCCACCCTAGAAATTAGCATTTGAGCAACACCCTTTTGATTTATTTAAAAAAGCTGTATTTGTTTGTGGGCAGTGAGGTAAAGTAAGGGATCTGGGGTGTGACAAACATCCCCTAAGTCTCAGTGGCTTACATTTATTTCTCACTCATGTTATATAAGATCTATGGTAGGCTTTGGATTTGTTCTGTGGCATCCAGATTTCAAGAGCAACCTCAAACACAACTTTCTCGTGTCTGAGCCCAAACAGTAATCACTTCTGTTAAAGTTCCAGCTGACACCTGAGTAAAAACTGGAAGTGTTAGTTCCTCGAGGGCTGGGATTTGTGTCTGATTTTATTTGAAATCATGTCCCCAGCACCTAGGGCAGGGCCTGGGCCATTGTAGCTCTCAATAATTATTTATATGAACAAAAGGAGGCAAGGGAAGGAATCATATTGATAACTCGGGGAAAGAATATTTTAGGCAGAGGACACAGCACATTGCAAAGCCCACATCTTAGTTACTTTTCTTGTTGCTGAGACAAAATACTTGACACCCTAAGTTAAAGGAGGAAGGATTTATTATAGCTCACAGTTTGTAGAGGTTTCAGTCCATAGTTGGCTGTCTCCAAGGCAGGGTGGCATGGCAGAGGGGCATTGTACAGGAGAAGCATTTTGTGGTGGGCACAATACAGCAAAGCATCTATAAAGCCAAGAAGTAGCAAAAGACTGCAGCAGCCCTCCTTCTGTCCCTTGTATTCTACCCAGGATACACGTCCTCAGGGAGGTAGCAGCACACTCAGGGTGGGGCACCCATAATCCTCGCATAGCACCATTAATCCCAGCAACACATCCTTAATCTCATCATCACACACTCTAGATCCATCCACCTCCAAAGAGCCTCACCTGTGACCACAGGTGTCCCTCTTTGAGGGGACATCTAGACAGACACAAACCTTATCAGCCCATTAGGCAGGAGGGTATCTGGTGTGTCTCTGAGACAAGGAAGAAGCCAGAGTGGCTGGAGTAAACCCCAGGGAGAGAAGGGACACATAGGTCAGAGGGGCATCTTGGAGGCGGAGCTCATGGAGGCCTCTCTTAACTCATTGAAATGGAGAACACGAAAGGGTTTTGAGTAAATTAGTAACAAGAGTCTGAACTTTGGTTTTCATAGGATCGTTTTCAGGTGACAGGAGAACAGAAAGAAGGCAAGTGAAGAATCCGAAAGACGGATTAAGGGCTCTTTCATCACTGAAATGAGCAAAACCTTGCTGGGCCAGGTGTAAACAAATGAACAAACCCAGGGATCTGCCCAGGGCAGTGATTGTTCAACTTTGCTGTGCATCTTAATTTCCTGGGGTACTTTGTAAAAATGCAGCTTGGGGACCTCACTTCCACAAGTCCTGATTGAGAGGGTTTGGGTTGTGGGTATTGGAGTCTTGTCCACCCCCACCCCATGCCTTTGAAGCAGGAGTTCTGGGACTATACTCCTTAGGGCTTGAATTAACATGTGATGAATCAACTAACAATGGAAGGAACTTTACCCGGATCCTGGAAAGCGAGGTTTTTAAACTGCAACTACCTCTTTCCGCCCCCCAAGGGAGGGCTGTCTGGGGAAACCGGGTCTCGGGAAGCAGGGAGGAATCCCAGGCGGGGAGGGGCCCAGTGAGACAAAGGGCGGCGTCCTATAAAGGCTGCGGCAGCGGCCGAGGC